GGAGAAGGAGAAAGGAAGAGGAAGTAGGGAGGAGAAGAAGAGGGGGGGAAGAGAAAGTAAGAAGGAAAGAAAAGAGAGAGGTGGTAGGTTTGAGGAGAAAGATTGCTGTACAATAAAAAAGATGAAAGGGAAGAAAGCCAACCCCAAACAAATATAAAGATATTAAGATAAAGAATGAATGGTTAAACTTTAAAGAATAAAAGAGAACAAATATGAATAAATAGCAGTAATTAGAAACACACATACAAACATACAATTTATTTTCTTTGAACAGAGTATTTGGCCGGTTCACAAATTTAAACAGTGTTTAGTCACTTCAATTAAATTTACAATTTCTATATTTCCTTTTTGCCATATGTATTCCTCATCTATTTTTTTAAAAAAACCAATATTACCCTTCATCCTCATCTCTAATCTTAATCAAATTCAATTTTTCCCTTCTATTCTATATTATACCCCTTCCCATTGTCATCTATTTTTATATCCATCCTCACATTGTTTAATTATGTAATTATGTAATACAGTTGTTTAATACAAATTCAACATTTTAATATAAATCAATTAGTTATAAAACTATCTTCTTTGTATATTGATCAATATGAACATGAATATTCCTATTATTTCCATGCAATCCAATTTCTTACAAATCAATTAATTATATTTACCAATAATAATAAACCAAATAATTTCCCCCATATATTCCTCTGAACCACAACTTAACCATTTCTGCTTTCAACACAATATACAATTAATAGTATCTCAATTATTACAATTCCCTAGTTAAATACAGCTTTTTTTTCTTTTGTGTTTTAAAATCTTGAACTCTCCTCCTAAATTTCCCATTGTTTGCAGTTTTTCACCTACCTTTTTTGGGGAGGAAAAATAAAAATAAAAATAAATCTCTCTCTGCCTCATTTTGTCACGTTGCACCAAAGATCCTGCTTTCGGTTTCGTTTCTGCAGCTTAGCTAGGGGAAAAAAAAACTGCTTCAGGAACTCTTTACACTGATTGCCTGTAGGGCGGCCCTTTGAAGCCCCGGGCAAGAGTTTAAACAGTTTTTTTTTCTTCTAGCCATCAGCTGGGGCTCAAGAGGCAGCGGGACTCAGGAGGCAGAATGAAAAATCGGGACTTTTTTGAAACGCCGCGGGACGCAGGACAAATTGCTCAAAATCAGGACTGTCCCGCCAAAAGCGGGACGTCTGGTCACCTTAGCTTTGCATAGTAGGCCAAGCACAGGGCCCCAATATGAAGAGCAACAAGAAAGGAAGGAGGGAGAGAGTAAAGGAAGAGCTGACACAGCTGCTGGCTTGAGTCACTTGTCGCTAGCTAGATGGCAGAATTTACTGGTTGGGGACAAGGGACATGTTGGGTAACTGAGGAGGGGAGGGGATGCCTTGCAGACCTGAGCAAGAAGAATTAGCTGGGTGAGCCTCTGGACTGCGCAGTGGAGGGGAAGAGGGGAGTGGGGTGGGGGAGGAGATCTAAGAAGTTAGTCTCAGCTCTATTTCAATAGAAGAGAATATATGTACAGGGTTGAATTCTTGGTGTTCTCTGAGCTTGGTTGCTTGCAAACATTTTATTACCTGATTAGGGAATATCATCCATTCTAGTAAGTGTGAAATTTGCTCCCTATTTATATATAGCGGCTTGCCCTGCTAATATTGGCCGGGTTGTGGTTTCCTCCTTGGTAATTCCTTGATTAGGGTATTGTTTTCCGCTTGATCATTTGTCTGGTAGTAATCCCTCCTTATCTGGGTATAGGTTGCTGGAAAGGTCTTTTTGTCTGCTTTATTGTCTCTTTTGGATGGTCTATAAATGTGGTTTATTTATATGCATATTGGTGACTGATTTGTCTGAGTGCCAAGTTTCCAGGAATTTCCTAAAGTTTTTGGATTTAGCTTGGTTTGCAATGCTAAGTTTCCCAGTTGAAACTGTGGTTGAGTCTGTCCATGTGTTGTGAGATTAAGGAGGTTTTGTTGTGTCTTCTAACTGCTAATTGATGTTCATGGCTGTGTTCTGCTAATCTTCTGTCTATTACAGGTAGCTGTTACAATTCTTACATTGTATGTTGTAGGTGACTCCTCTTTTTTCTTCTTGGTGTACAAAGTTAGCATCCACCCCACTCCTAGAAGAATGAAATATTTTGAGAAATATTAAAGAGGCAGAATATTATATTTCCCTGGATGAGAAATGGAGAAACATGGTTTTTTAGAGGAAGGAAGCAGAGTCATTCTTAATAGCTCCCACCTTTCTTAATAGCTCTCAGCAGATGTCAGCAGTTAAGAGATAAAGAGATAGCTAGCTCTATTCATTAGCAAATTCCCTGCAGCAAGGTCTGAACAAAGGTAGGGTTAGCCCTCAGCCACAATAGGAATTGCCCAACAAGCCCCTTCAATGCATCAGCTAAACTTCAACCAAACTTAGCTCAGACAAACTCCTGGGATTTGTACATGGAACCATGGGAGTCTGACAACAGCCAATAGATTACATGTTCTTGCACAGGAACAGGAAGTTCAAGTGCAAAGCCCAAAAGAAGGTATAAATACCCCCGCCCCCAACTCCATGTGGTCAGCTGAACCAGAACCATGTGCTTGGTGGTTCTGTTCATCAATAAATCACCATCTTTCCAATCAGCCTCCGTGTTTCCAGTGTTTTTCTCCTGGCTTGGAACTGAACCAGATGGATATTTCTTCCAACATTGAGAACTAGGTCTTCTAGTTTATTTAAGATGTTCTGGATGGCTTTGGTTAGTTTGTGATGCCGTGTGTTTGAAATAGTGTGTTGACTCTTTTCCTGAGATGTTTTTGCTGGTAGTGTTTGGTAGTGTTATTCTAGGTTCTGTTGGTTGCGCTCTAGCGCATTGAATGATAAGACACTTTTTGATAAAAGTCGAGTAAGTATCCATTTTGTTGGAAGAGTTTGTAGAGGTGATCTGTTTCCTTTTTCTGGTGTTCTGGGCTGTTGTAGTGCATCTGGTTTTTTAAATTTTTTGTATTTATGTATTTTATTGTTTGGCTGTTCACCGCCCTGAGTCCTTCGGGAGTAGGGCGGTATACAAATCAAATAAACTAAACTAATTTGTGCTTGTCTGACTAGAACTCACCAATCAGTGTCTGCAAGTAAACAACCAAGCTCAGAGACCACCAAAGAACTTACAGACCTCTATTTATCCCCCCATAAATGCAAGTGATTTTTTTTTTCTTTTGAGATAGAAGCACATAAACACTTAGGGTATAAAGCATGGGCACAGTGGCTTTTGGGCTTGTTTTGGATTTTACAGCTGTTTCTTCAATTATTTCATAAAATAAATATATGCAGATGCATATTCACCCAAAAGGAAAGCCAGCTTACTAAAATAGGAGAAACACAACATTAAAGGAATTGTGCAATATCCTGCTTTCCCACTTTATCAAGTTAGGGTTAATGAGTCTAGTGTGGAAATTTCCCCTTCTCCATGGATATGATAGCAGTTGTATGTATTTGCATCTACTTGTCATAGATCAGGGCCAAGATGGATTTTATCTATTCACCTGTCTGTATAGTATGACTGTGTTTGTGTGAGAGAGAGATGTCCAGCTATTTAATTTGGAAAATGATTTTAGACAAAATATTTGGAGGTATAATGATTTAGGAAAGGGGATAAATGAATGACAGGAGAGAAAATCTTTACTTACTGCCAGCATAGATAGTGTAGTAGAACTACACTGTGGACCCTTAAAATATAGTTTCTACCTGAAGTTTTGTACAATACAAGCTTTATGTTGCTAATCCCCAATAACACAGAGGTTTTTCAGGAAAGACTGAACAGCCACCTGTTTAAAATGGTATATGGCAGGGGTCCCCAACCCCTGGTCCATGGACCAGTACTGTGCTGCAGCATGCCAGAAACCGGGCCGAGCAAACAAGTGAAGCCCCATTCATGGGATGCAGGCAGCATACGAAACCACCCTCTTCGGTTCGCAGAAAACCTCTCTCCACAGAATTGGCCCCTGGTGCCCAAAAGATTGGAGCAGAGGTGGTATTCAGCAGGTTCTGACCAGTTCTGGAGAACCGGTAGCGGAAATTTTGAGTAGTTCGGAGAAGCGGTAAATACCACCTCTGACTGGCCCCGCCCACATCTATTCTCTGCTTCCTGAGTCCCAGCTGATTGGGAGGAAATGGGGATTTTGGAGTAATCTTCCCTTGGAGTGGGGAGTGGAATGGAGACTTTTCAGTATCCTTCCCCTGGAGGGGGGTGGGAATGGAGATTTTACAGTATCCTTCCCCTGCCACGCCCACCAAGCCATGCCCACTAAGCCAAGCCATGCCCACCAAGCCACACCCTCAGAACGGGTAGTAAAAATTTTTGAATCCAACCACTGGAACCATTGGAGGCTGCTGGTAGAGTCTCCTGCTTGAGCTGGGGGTTGGACTAGAAGACCTCTAAGGTCCCCTCCAGTTCTATTCTGAGTGATTGAACAAATAATTCTCAACAAAGGTATTATCCACAGAATTGGGTCCTAGTTCTACTATACAAAACATTGTGCAACAATTCTGGTGTTTTTTCCCCCCCTTAAATGTTTTTTGTCAATGAAAGACCTGAAAGAAGTGATGGCCAAGTTTTAACAAATTGCTTGGAGCATTTTTTTAAAACCCACCCTGCTGCCAGAAAAGTTTTATGTGAAATGATCTGTTTATAAAGACCAAACTTCGCTATATCCTCATAGGTATGTATGTATGCATGCATACATGCATACATACATACACACAGACACCTGATAAAATGAAAGCATTGTTTCTTCCGCTTGCTTTTCACTGGCTTATTAGTTTGGCATTGTGCATGTGACTTAATTGACAGAGAATTCAGCTTAATCCATCACTAATACGGCAGTAATAGCCATTTGCCAGGCTCACTTTTCTGAGGACTGATCTGAGGGGGGGGGGAATCCATTCTTTTGCCCGATAGCTTTGGGTCCCGCAGCCAAAAAGCAAGTGGAGCCGGAGACATTGTGTGTCTTGGAAGTTCTTTTATTCGGCAAATGACTTCTACCACTAGGGCTGAGGCAATCTAACCTTCAAAACAGGGACCCCCCAGAAAATGCTATTCCTACATAGTTAGGAATTAGTTTAAAACAACAGCATAACGAGAAGAAAAGAAGCTTTGAGTGTGAACATTTTAATGGCTTCTTTTTATGTGTTCTCCTAAGTGATTTCATGCACGTGTTTGAAATAATTTGGCTAAGATATTCCACCCCTCCTTTCTGTGAGGGATTGGTATGCCCCAGGGACAGATGTCTTCAGATCTTTTAACATTTGGGATGTCGCTAATGCCCAAGTTAAATGAAATACCTAGTGGGGGTTGGAGGGAAATTTAGCAAAAGCACCAAGAACATGGAAGCTGCAGCAGCAGCACAACTCTCATGCCTTCCAGGAAGTTAATGGAGAAGCTCAAAGAGAACCACTTCCTCCTTAAAAGGTAAGTGAAAACAAAGTAGAACTCTCTCTGGGTGTAAAATGTGGTCTTTCCACTAATAGTTCAACACTTCTGCATGGAGGAAACATTTTTTCCCTTGAAGTTAAGAGCAAATAATTCTTCTCAGTTAACTGATTCCTGGAAGTAATTTATAACTTTTGTTTTTCCCCTCTGAAATCTTGGAATAACAACCAAGAATTAAAGGAAAGAATGTGGGAAAGCTGACTTTATAGCAATTCTGTTACTGAAAAAGCAAGTTAATGCCATTTCCAGAGGTTTTAGACCTGAATATCACTAGCCGAAGATCCCCACTTATGCACCCATAGACACACACAGAAGCCAAATTCTCTGAATTAAAGCATGCAAGTACAGGATTGGTGAGCATTACCAACTCTTTTTTTAGAAACTGCCTTTCTTTCTTTTCTTTTTTGATCAGCTGCTGTGCCTTAGGGAGTTACTGAAGAGAAATGCTTCTGAATGCATGAACAGGACATGGACCAGTGATTGCTTTCTTGAATCCTTTGTTAAGGAAGAAAGCTTTTTGGATAGAAGAGCCATAGAAGCATCACATCTTTTTTTAAAAAAATTAGCTGTAGGTTTCTCTTTTCCAAATGAACCAAGTCTTTGAGGACCAGATTTTTAGCTGATTACCATGAAAACTTTAGCACCTGGAAACAAATGCAGGATTTAAAAACCAGTTGCAGGAAACATTTACAAAGCTGAAACTAATCTAGCCCTGAGTGTCACAAACAGGTTGGTGCTCAGCCTAGGAGTGTGTGGATTAAGTGATTGTATATAAAGTGTTAATTTCTTACAACAGAGTCCCTTGAAAAGTCTTTATAAATTTAGTAGGAGATAAGAAAGGATTTCTAGGTTGATTTGATTTATCAGACTTACAGATTCACATATTGTTAAAATTGTTTTTATTAAGCCACCCTTATATGCACCTATTGATTGATTGAATTGCACAGAGTGTTATATCTGATTATGGCATGTGGATACTCTGTGAGAAAAGGCCAGTAGCTTTTTCTATCATTTCACAAAACTCATACAATTTAATGTTGGATTAGAGTTGTAGCATTTGGTTTCTGATTTCGGATACTCTCCAGTACTCGTTAGTGCTATACAGGAATGAGTTGCTTCTGTATAAATATATATAACAAAAAATGTATGTTTATAAATTAGTATATTAATATGTTAATATGTATAAAAGATAATGGAACCACATGTATAGTTATATAGATGTAAGGGAAAAAATGGATATATAGCAAATGTATACCGATACGGAAATGTTGCAAAGAGGAAAACTGTTAAAAAATTTAAAAAACTGTTTAATAAAAATTTATTAAAAGAAAAAAAAGAAAAGAAAAAGGCCTTTAAGGAGAGAAAAAAAGGAATGAGTTGCTTCAAGGTAATTTAATATTTTGTACCAATTTATCATAAGACAATCCCTTGGTGTTTTAGAATATTAGCTTATTGTCAGCCTTTCTACGTCAACATCACATAACCTTGCAATGATGATATATCACATTTTTATATCTCCCCAATGTATCAAATGGTTATGTATCATTCAGTGGAGGTACTTGCCAATAGTAGTTAATGATTCAAATATAAGTTTTGTTTAAAATGGATTGAGCCTTTTGTATCTTCCACTACAAATCTCATGTGTGCGAAAAGTACTCATTTGTCTTTGATTATTCTGCAAGAATTAGAGTTTGACCTCCTTGTGAATTCCTGCTTATCTGTCTACACAGTGAAATTAATCTAATTTTTTGTTTGAGGCAACTATAACACATGTAGGATTCCTAGAGTGTTGATGTCATAATAATACAATTGCATTTGTAATGAGCTAAATTCCATTGATCTTGGATGGAGAAATTGTTGCTGAGGGACTAGCCTAGAAAGAAATTGTATGCCAGAAATAGAATTTAAGCCACTCTAGCCCATTTATTCATCTTTTTCATATCCCATCCTGGCTTTGCCACCTAATTTCAGGCATGTGAAAGCTTTTCCATGCACTATTACTTTTAAGGGTGAGCTTTGTGGTAACCTGTCATAACCCTAGTTAGTATAACATTCCATTCATTTATTGAATTGAATCCTAAATTCCTCTGTTCATACTCCCAGCATCGCTGGAAGATCCTGGCATAGACCTTTCAGTTTCCCACGGACAGGGAACAGTAGCTCATCAAAGACCCTGCTTGGATGATGGGTGAAATGCTTCAGGTTCCATGCCAGAATGAAGAGGGACTGAAACACAGCTGTGACATGCTTTATCATTCTGGAGCAAAGGAATTGGCCTCTCCTCTTGGTCTTGATGGGATGATGGATGGCCTGCATGTAGGGGGCACTAAAAGGGCACTTGTCCTTCACTGTTCTTTATTCTTGAAGAGCACATCTGGCAGCTAATTGAGAGAATGAGATGAATTCCTTCAGTGTTATGAAGTTAGCTCCTGTATGGCTGCCTAAGTAGACAGAGCCTGGGAGAAGGGAGATAGGGCATAGCTTTTTAGGAATAAAGCCAAATGGAATGATTGGACCATTTATGTTGAAATTCTTTTTTGCACTGTAGCTGGGGAAGCTCCCCGGAACACCCAATGTATAACACAGGTTATTTTGTACCCTGCTTCCTTTGGAAAGGGAACAGTTGAAAGAAGAGGAATAGTTGGCTTAAAAATCAGTCTGATTCTCAGGGATGAGCATATAAAGCTCAAAAGAAAAGACTGCTGTTTGCAGATCAACAGATTCTTTATTTCATAGCCGCTCCATGCTGCATTCAAATAGGAATAATCCATAGACAACTTCCCATTCCAATTCCCATTGGCACTTTGTTGCAGTGCCTCACTGCAACAAAGAGCCAAAAGATCAGTTTACTATAGCATACATTATTTTTACAGAACCTATATTCCAAGTGTGACAGAGATGCTTTTTTTATGAATGGACAAAAGTACGGTTTTCAGATAATAGTTCTGCAGTGGTAGAAGGAATTGTAGGAAAAGATGTATAAAATAGAGCTCTATTATGTGCTAGAGGTTATCAGGTGCTAGTGTCAACTAGGAGAATGTCAAGAGTGGATGATGAATCTCAGATACAGATAGTTAATGAGCACAGAATATGCTGATAAGTAATATTTCTGCATTAAATGAAATGGATAGTTCCAAATTCTAGACAGAAACATTAATTTTTCATTTAATTTATGTTGTCTTAAGACAGCAATGGTAGAAAGGTTCAGTAGTGCTGCAACAAAAAAAGGGAGTTTATTACTTTTTTCCCCTCCCATGCAAAATGAAAGCCGTTCTTTGTTAAAGAAGGAAAGCCCCACGAAGAAGATCTCGCAGTGGGGTGAAACAATTTTCCCTTCCTTAGAAAATGCATGCACGATCTAAGTTGAGAACCCCTATAGTCGGCTCAATATACCTTCAAGGCACCAGGGTATGGAAGATTGATATAAACTATTTTCAAAAGTCCTTGACATCATTTCATTCCAGCTGGCCCAATCCCAGGCATTGTTCTGTAATTCTCCTTAAGGTACCTGGGAAGTGGCAATTATATTGTAGAGGTGGATATTCTTATCAGTAGGTATTGGACAAATATTTACTTCTGGGGCTCTGTTTTCCTGGTAAGGCCTCTTTGTCTTTAACAGCTCATTATTAGCAGATGTATTAACAAAGCTTTTGTTATCATTTTATCCTGAAACAGCTTGCCTGCTTGGTAGGTAGACTTTTTCTCTCTAGTACAGGGTTTCTCAACCTTAGCGAGTGGACTTCCAATTCCGAGAATTCTGCCCTAGTATCTACAGTAGACCAATTTGGCAATAACAAAAAATGCTTCTTGTTTTCCCCCACCCTATTGATACTGTGTTGGCCTTAAAAATAAAATTGAAAGAAACAGATTATTCTATGTTTACTATTCTGTTACATAGGCAGTTTCCTGTGATGCTCTTAACTCATATGAGCTAACTTTGCTCCTTCTAAACAGTTTACTGTGCTGACAGTGTTTATGAAATAGCCCAATGTGCAGCTGCAGCAATTATTTAAACAACCTGTATGTGCTGGATCCATTACACACAGGGCTTTTCTGCATAGCAGCCTCAAGCTGCTTCACTCCTGTGTTGGAAATGAAGACAATTTAAGAAATCTCTTTCTGGATTTCCGATCCTTCCTCTGCTTTTGCCTTGGAGACGGCAAAAAGTGCAAAGAAGAGCAACTAAGTTGATTAAAGGCCTGGAGACTAAAACATATTTTATTTTTATTTATTTATTTAATTTATTTATATGCCGCCCTTCTCCGGAGACTCAGAGCGGCTTACAATGCGTTAAGCAATAGCCTTCATACTTTTGTATATTTATACAAAGTCAGCTTATTGCCCCCACAAACTGGGTCCTCAATTTACCTACCTTAGAAAGGATGGAAGGCTGAGTCAACCTTGAGCCTGGTGAGATTTGAACTTACAGTACTTGCAGACAGCTGGTATTAATCACAATGCTATCAGTCTGCTGAGCCACCAGGCTCAGAAAGGTTGCGGGATTTGGGTTTGGCTAGTTAGAGAAAAGAAGGACTAGGGAGGATATGATAGCAGTATTCCAGTATTTGAGAAGTTGCCATAAAGAGAAGGGGTCAACTTATTTTCCAAAGCACCAGAGGGCAGGACAAGAAACAATGGATGGAAATTAATCAAGGAAAGAAGCAACTTGGAATTAAGGAGAAATTGATTGAATCCTTGCCTCTGGCACCACATCTTCTTCAGCCTCCTCACTGTCCGACTTGCGCGCCAGCTGCACAGGCTGCTGGCGCAGCACCACACCAGCCTCCTCGTCGTCGGGATCAGCAACAATCTGCGCAGGCCGCTGGCGGGCCACAACAGCTGGCATAGGAAAATGCAACTTTTGATGTGTAGCAAGAAAAGAAACATGGGTATGTGGGTGTGTGGGTGTTGTGCCTTCATGGTGGGCTGGTTGTGGGTAGAAGACAGCATCATGCATTCCTTGAGAAACTGCAGCTTGT